TCAGTAATCATTACATTCAAGCTGTGCTTATCCACTGAACAGTGTTTTCTTTTTTGAAATGTTGTGTTCAGGGATTATGATTAGGTGGAGTTTTTCTAAGAACTCTACTGATTGATGAGTGTAAATTTTTATTACACCTTACTTGTATTGAAAGATCTTTTTGCTGATCTTTCTTGTTTCTTTTTCTTACTTTTTATTAGTCGGGAATTAGTCTTAACTTTGTTTCTAGTTTAGTAACTAGCTTGACTAGATAACATATTTTTCAGTTGGATTGAATCTGCATTGTTCCTAGATGTAGTTAATTCTCATCTTTATTCACAATCACTTTACACCCTTTTGTAGGGTTCTTGGTTCCAGCACTTTATGGAATTGTGTGGTTTAGCAGTCAATTAATTTAAAATATTAGTTTTTTGACATTTTAAGAGATGTGAACGTTTCATTCACTTGCTACTCTTCACATCACTTGTTTTCTATGTTCTGTTTGTTTTCTGCTTACAGATACACTCAGCAAATTACTTTTGTATTTCTTATTCATCAACTAATTTTAGGTCTAATTTTACATTCGTGTAAAATTAGTTAGTTTACAGAAGCCTTACTTTAAGATACATTTAATGGCTCATTAATGCCTTCTGGTCACAACATATTCATTCTTTATTTATACCAGGGTATAGGATGTTTGTTCTACAATCATTTTGGATATCTTGGTTTTCAAATCTTGTTTCATTATTTTTAATTTTACAAGGATAATTTTTACTAAGTTTTTTGTTTTTGTTTGTTTGTACTTTTGTGTCTCTTTATGGAGATCTACATTATTGTTTATCTACATATCTCAGATCCACTCTATGTCTTAGAATCTTTTGGTTAGTTTTACCCTAACCACAGTTTTTTATGGAGTGGCTCACCTTAAAATATGCTTCATACTTTTGAACAGCTACTTATCAATCACTCCTTTTCTGGTATTGATTGGTTTCATGCATATTTTCTAAGTAACTATATGGTTCTTTATAAGCGGTGTACCTTCACACATGTTTGAATCTTGTCTTAAATTGATCAGATCATGAGTCAATTGATTGAAATATAATTTTATTTTATTCAATCAACAGTAGAAGAGAGGATTCTAGGCATCGGTTCAGGTTCTTTATACTATGAATCTTGTGTTTTTAAACATGCTTCTAAGTGATGGGCTCTCATTTTTATTATCTGGAGCCTGTTTTCTTTCTTTGTCTTTCTTATTCATAACCATATTACTATTCATTCGTGATTGGTTATTATTTTCAAACAAGGTGGTTTTCATCTAATATTGAAAACACATCCCTTCGATTGTGAAAGTTGCCTTTGTGGTTTTCGGGCCTGGATTGCCTTAAGGTTTCACTCCAGTTCCAGACTTCTTTTGGTCTTATATTTTTACTAGTTCATGTTCATAGTACTAATACTACTTTTTAACTAGTAAAAGCATGGTAGTTTTAACCACTTGGATAAACTGACCATGTTTCTTTTGATATAGTATTTTCCCCTGAGAAAATGTGAGTCACTTTTATTGTGGAATTCATCTTTGTGGTCTTTGGGCCTGGATTATCCTTCAGGTATCACTCCACTTCCAGACTCCTTTTGGTCTTATTTTATTACTAGTTCATGTTCATAGTACGTATACTACTACTTAACTAGAACAGGCTAGTAGAATTAACCAATTGGATAAACTAATCATGTTTTATGATATCGTTTTTTCCATTGAGAAACTACAAGTCACTTTATTTGTGGAATTAATCTCGGGCTTTTTGGGCCTGGTTTGCTTTAGGTTTCACTCCAGTCCAGACTTCATTTGGTTTTATATTATTACTAGTTCATAGTACTTATACTACTATTTAACTAGTAAAAGGCTGGAAGTTTTAACCATTGGATAAACTTATCATGTTTTATGATATAGTTTTTTCCCTTGAGCAACTGCAAGTTTGGCTTAAGACTACTGAAAAGTAATGTTCTTGGACCAAGTGTTGTATGGATCCAACATTGACTGGTAGACACATGCAGTAGTACTTCGATGACCATGCGGGCCTGATGTATATCCTGTTGATACTAGAGTTTCAACTCCAAGCCAAATTTGATCTACAAAGGTTATGCTCCAAGTCAAGAACTTTGTGGATCCAGCACTACCTTACTACATACTGTAGTGTTCCAATACACCTACATCCATGATGTATGCTCTTGGTAGCTTTAGACAGACCCGGGAGAAAAGCTGACTATTCTTGTCAACCAGTGCTGCCAACTACAAACCTGGATGAATTTAAAGGTTACGTTTTTGGACACAGATTTTGGTGGATCTAGCACTACTATACTCTCATACTATACTAGTAGTGATTCCTTTTGTAGCAGTATCTACGTTCAATGCTGTTATACTCTTAAGACAGATAGATGTACTATCCATTGAAGATACCACTAGTCTGTCTTTTGCAAGCCTGCGAAGAAGTTTTTGGTTCCAGGCCAAGAATTTTGTTGATCCAGTGAGTTTCTGAATTCTTCTGCAGTATTCTCTCAATATGCAGCACTAGCTATGATGTTTGCTGTTTACAACCTGGACAGATGGATGTTCTAACCACAATCCAATAGTTTATCAACTACAATGCCGAATACAACAATTGAAGGTTGCATTCCAAGCCAAGCTCTTTGTGGGAACAACACTTACCAGTGCTTTGATGGCAGTAGAATACTTTGTTATGCTATGGCCACTATAGACAATCATTACAGTGATATCCTCATCTTAAAGATGCCTAAGAAGTTTACCAACAAATGCAAGCTTGTTTCCAACCACCTTTAGATTCATCTCCATACTAATCCTTTATAGATAAGTATGGACCTCTATGCTGTACTACTTTGTGCTTGATGTGCCACTGTGTCTACTAGGGTAGCTGTGTTACAGTTTTTATACAGATGGATAGACTGTCTAGGTGGGTCTACAGCTTCAAGAACTATATACAACTTTAAGTACTCTGCAACTTGTTACCAACTCAGTATTGCACTGTAGTCTGGTGATTGGAAGTAATACTGGGTGGACTTGGTTTGTCTTTATCTTGTACACAGCCATTCCTTGTCTATCCAGTTCTTGTGTAAGTGGAACTGTTTTGCAGAAGGGTTCAACTCAACCAGCTTGTGACCTGGACCTTTGAAGAACTACAAGGTTGCCTCGTTTGGTTAAACGGCCCATCCTTGGCTAACCAGTTCTGTTCATAGGAGTTATTCGCAACCCTTAGATGGGTAAGGATACTCACTGTGAAAGGACATACAGTCTCCCAGATGTGTAGCTGAACTGTTTTGCAGAAGGGTTCAACTCAACTAGCTTGTGACCTGGACCCTTGAAGAACTGCAAGGTTGCCTCGTTTGGTTAAACGGCCCATTCTTGGTTAACCAGTCTCTATTCATAGGAGTTTGTCATTACCCTTAGATGGCTAAGACTGCTCACTATGATAGGACAATAACAGTTATACAGATGTGTCACAGCCTCTGCCCTACAATGGATGACGGTGGCTGTTCCACTAGGGATCACTATGGTTTGTGAGATCAGAGTACTTTTTGGTAATATGAATTTACTTTTTATTATAAGTACTTGTGTATATATATTTATTATACTTTTGGCTTAATCGGGATCCCACCTCCTTTACTTTTTATTCAGCATATGTCATGGAATAGGTTGGATTGTATGTAATTGAGAAATTTTACAAGTAAATTTTCTATTAATTACAATACAAACCTATTCCATGACCATAGGCCCACCCGGCCTCCCCGCAGTATTTTTAAGTTTTACTGCGTACAATTATGAAGTTATAGCATATAAAGGGGTGTTAGGTCAGTTGACCTAGAGGGATTCAGGTTATCCTGTTGTTTTTTGGACTTGCCCATTTTTCCAAATTAGGGGTATTAGCATATGTCATGGAATAGGTTTGTATTGTAATTAATAGAAAATTTACTTGTAAAATTTCTCATTTTCAATATGACCAAAATGTTTAAAAAAGGATTTTGAAATAAATCCATATTATTCATCCCCACTCCCACTACACTTTTTCTAAGAATAACAGAAATGAACTGATAAAAGGCTTTCATCTCTTGCATAAGCACCCTATGCAGACAGAGCCTGTGGGAAATATTGGGTGGGGAGCAAATGAGCGGAGGGTGCGGAGCTAACGGTCATTTTTGACTTTAAATTTGGGATATTTCTGGAACTAAGCCGTTTTGGGACTTCAAACATACCAAGATATGTGTATTTGACACCAATTATCAATACAATTGTGAAAATAGTAGCGCAATTCATTCTATAGCGACGCAGTGTGCCTTAAACCTTTCCCAGACCTATATATTTTGAAATTATCCTTTTAATACTGAGTCCCCAGCATTCATAAAAAAATGGTGTTCAAGGTACACTATCTATACAAATTATTTTTGCATCTTGGAAGCCAGGCAGTATCTGTGTGATTTTATAAAAATTCGGAAATGTTCTTCGGATATGAGCCCCCTCTAAATATTGGGTGCGGAGCAGCTCCATAAACGTAGGCTCTGTCTGCATAGGGTGCATAAGTGCCGGTGCTTCTATACATAAGTACAATGTCAAGCTCATTTATAGCCTGTGTTAGTTTTAGAGTTGATAGAAGACTGATCTCTCACAATGAATATCACCAACATTTGAGTTGCATTTACTGTACATATGTTTGTGTCTTCCAGGAGCTCAACTATTGTTTGCATCAGTGCAAGTGTCTCTATACATAAGAACAATGTCAAGCTCATTTATAGCCTGTGTTAGTTTTAGAGTTGATAGAAGACTGATCTCTCACAATGAATATCACATGCATTTGAGTTGCATATAGTCTACATATGTTTGTGCCTTCCAAGAGCTCAACTATTGTATGCATCAGTGCAAGTGTCTCTATACAGAAGAACAATGTCAAGCTCATTTATAGCCTGTGTTAGTTTGCATTTGAGTTGCATATAGTCTACATATGTTTGTGTCTTCAAAGAGCTCAACTATTGTATGCATCAGTGCAAGTGTCTCTATACAGAAGAACAATGTCAAGCTCATTTATAGCCTGTGTTAGTTTTAGAGTTGATAGAAGACTGATCTCTCACAATGAATATCACCAGTATTTGAGTTGCATATACTGTACATATGTTTGTGTCTTCCAGGAGCTCAACTATTGTATGCATTAGTGCCAGTGCTTCTATACATAAGAACAATGTCAAGCTCATTTATAGCCTGTTTTAGTTTTAGGGTTGATAGAAGACTGATCTCTCACAATGAATATCACCAGTATTTGAATTGCATATAGTCTACATATGTTTGTTTGTGTCTTCCAGGAGCTCAACTATTGTTTGCATCAGTGCAAGTGCTTCTATACATAAGAACAATGTCAAGCTCATTTATAGCCTGTGTTAGTTTTAGAGTTGATAGAAGACTGATCTCTCACAATGAATATCACCAGTATTTGAATTGCATATAGTCTACATATGTTTGTTTGTGTCTTCCAAGAGCTCAACTATTGTTTGCATCAGTGCAAGTGTCTCTATACAGAAGAACAATGTCAAGCTCATTTATAGCCTGTTTTAGTTTTAGGGTTGATAGAAGACTGATCTCTCACAATGAATATCACATGCATTTGAGTTGCATATAGTCTACATATGTTTGTTTGTGTCTTCCAAGAGCTCAACTATTGTATGCATCAGTGCAAGTGTCTCTATACAGAAGAACAATGTCAAGCTCATTTATAGCCTGTGTTATTTTAAGAGTTGATAGAAGACTGAACTCTCACAATGAATATCACATGCATTTGAGTTGCATATAGTCTACATATGTTTGTTTGTGTCTTCCAAGAGCTCAACTATTGTATGCATCAGTGCAAGTGCTTCTATACATAAGAACAATGTCAAGCTCATTTATAGCCTGTGTTAGTTTTAGAGTTGATAGAAGACTGAACTCTCAGAATAAATATCACCAACATTTGAGTTGCATATACTGTACATATGTTTGTGTCTTCAAAGAGCTCAACTATTGTTTGCATCAGTGCAAGTGTCTCTATACAGAAGAACAATGTCAAGCTCATTTATAGCCTGTGTTAGTTTGCATTTGAGTTGCATATAGTCTACATATGTTTGTGTCTTCAAAGAGCTCAACTATTGTTTGCATCAGTGCAAGTGTCTCTATACAGAAGAACAATGTCAAGCTCATTTATAGCCTGTGTTAGTTTGCATTTGAGTTGCATATAGTCTACATATGTTTGTGTCTTCAAAGAGCTCAACTATTGTTTGCATCAGTGCAAGTGTCTCTATACAGAAGAACAATGTCAAGCTCATTTATAGCCTGTGTTAGTTTGCATTTGAGTTGCATATAGTCTACATATGTTTGTGTCTTCAAAGAGCTCAACTATTGTATGCATCAGTGCAAGTGTCTCTATACAGAAGAACAATGTCAAGCTCATTTATAGCCTGTGTTAGTTTTAGGGTTGATAGAAGACTGATCTCTCACAATGAATATCACCAACATTTGAGTTGCATTTACTGTACATATGTTTGTGTCTTCAAAGAGCTCAACTATTGTATGCATCAGTGCAAGTGTCTCTATACAGAAGAACAATGTCAAGCTCATTTATAGCCTGTGTTAGTTTTAGGGTTGATAGAAGACTGATCTCTCACAATGAATATCACCAACATTTGAGTTGCATTTACTGTACATATGTTTGTTTGTGTCTTCTAGGAGCTCAACTATTGTATGCATCAGTGGAAGTGTCTCTATACAGAAGAACAATGTCAAGCTCATTTATAGCCTGTGTTAGTTTTAGAGTTGATAGAAGACTGAACTCTCACAATGAATATCACCAACATTTGAGTTACATATACTGTACATATGTTTGTGTCTTCTAGGAGCTCAACTATCATATGCATTAGTGCCAGTGCTTCTATACATAAGAACAATGTCAAGCTCATTTATAGCCTGTGTTAGTTTTAGGGTTGATAGAAGACTGATCTCTCACAATGAATATCACATGCATTTGAGTTGCATATACTGTACATATGTTTGTGTCTTCCAAGAGCTCAACTATTGTATGCATCAGTGCCAGTGCTTCTATACATAAGTACAATGTCAAGCTCATTTATAGCCTGTATTATTTTAAGAGTTGATAGAAGACTGAACTCTCACAATGAATATCACATGCATTTGAGTTGCATATAGTCTACATATGTTTGTTTGTGTCTTCCAGGAGCTCAACTATCGTATGCATCAGTGCCAGTGCTTCTATACATAAGAACAATGTCAAGCTACCATGGAAGGGTACTGTTCAAGTCAATGTGGATGGACAATTTAAGGTAGGCAATCAGCATAGAGGACATCCTATGGTTTAACATTAATCTAAAATAGGGATCAAATCCTGAAATAAGGGCTGATGTGAAAAAGTCAATACAAGTTTCTACTGTATAAAAATAAATATGTTTATATTTAAAGACTTTTTTCAAAAATCAGGATAATTCATGTTTATTTAAATTTTATGTGTATGTCAGATTTGAACTAGTATGCTAAACTATTATACTGATTTTTCAGCCTTTAAGTGTTCAAATCAGACCTGATTTGTCATTGGATAGTGCCTCCATGAATTCAGATTTAGAACAGCTGTCATTGGCTAAAATGCCATCCACTCCACTGGTTGCTGTAGCAACAGCCAATCAGAAAGATGGAGACAATTTGAAAGTGACCAATACAAAACTAGTCCTACCACCTGTGCCAATAGGAAAAGATTCAGGTAGTTTTTATTTCAGAGACCATTTGTTTAGATATGAAGTACATTTTATTTGTATAGATGTATTATATTACAAATAGTATCTTATACATACATGCTCTTATATTGACACCCTGCTTGCTTGTTTTATTGTCACCACTAAGAAATTGTGACATCGTTATAGTCACTATTCTTTTGAATTTTTTTTCATGCATCACCGATCATTACCAGTGATCAATGAAATAGGGATTTGTGGTAACATGAAAATGTCATGGTAACAAAGTAATCACTTACCCAGAATTCTTAAGTCAATGCTGATTGGTTGTTTCAGAGAGCAAGTTAGAGATCCAGAATATAAGCCGTGATGCTGTTTCATGGAGCATTGTGGCCACCTCTGCTGCATATTGTAAGGTCAGTCCATCATGCTCCTTGTCTGTTTTTTGTTTGTTTGTTTTTTGTTTGTTTGTTTGACCTCTTTTTGAAATAAACATGACAATAAAATGCTTTGATATAAAGTTATGTTTCACAAACTACTTGGAATAAGGAACAAGATTCTTTGAATCCCATTTAATATCAATATTTGAATCTACATGCCTTTTGAAATTTATTTATCTCAATTTTAGTCACATTTAAAAACAAGGCTAATATAAACCAGATTTATGAATTATATATTTTTGCGTATGTAGAATATGACCACTGGTGAAGATACAACTAGGATTACTTACTCCGTGTTCAGATTTGTCAGAAATCATGGTGTCTTGCAGCCTCAACAAGATATAGCAGTAAGTTAGCCCCTGGATTTTAATCCACTCTTGACGTCTTGAGTAGCCTTTTTTTTATTTTGGAATAGCTTTAGTTTAATTACCTTCATTAGTGATACCATTGGCTTTCAATAGACAAATTTTGATATTCCAAATTCAGTCCAATATAATGATATATTGTAGTAGGTCATATTTTTAACTGAGACATTGGAAGATCTTCTTTTATTTGTTTTAAACCCCCATTATCTTATAGGTACCTGTGTCTTTTATGCCACAATCTGAGGGGGAGTACTCTCAAGTGATGGAACTGCGAACAAAATCCAATGCAGCTGTTGCTGCAGGGGAACATAATATAAAAGTCTTCCTTGTTGGGGAGGTATGTACACTGTGAATGTCTTTGTATAATTGAAATCAGGTCCATTTGGGTATATCATACCAACTTGACCTTCAGAACCTCAATCTTCAGGTCAATGAAGCCCTCCCATACCTCAACCTCTAGTTGATCTAAGCCCCCCCCCCCAAGTGAATTCTCAGTTCAACTAAGCTATCTCATACCTCAATTCTCAGTTCTACTAAGCTATCACATACCTCAATTTTCAGTTCAACTAAGCTATCTCATACCTCAATTCTCAGTTCAACTAAGCTATCTCATACCTCAATTCTCAGTTCTACTAAGCTATCAAATACCTCAATTTTCAGTGCAACTCCCTTACTTTAGTTTGTCTTTAACCAAAAAATAAAATAAATCCAAAAAGAGAAGTGGCTTTAAATAACAATACATGTCCTAGAGTAACATGTAGTGTTCAATTTCAGGGTTACTTTGAAAGTGATGAATCTAGAGAACGCTGGCAGTCTAGGGGTAACCACTCTAGTGGTAGAATGAACAGATCATCACTAGATAAGATAGTAGCCCCAAGTAGGAGATCACTAGATAACAGGTAAGATTATCAGCCCCGTAGCCAGGGCGGGTTAGATGCCCCCCCCCCCCCCCCGCCAAGAAATCTTTCAAAATCATGCAGTTTTTCACCCTTCTTAGCACTTTTTAAGTGATTTTGGCCATTTTTGGACCAAAATTGTCACAAGTGACGGGCCTGATTATACTAGAGGTATAAACCCCCTCCAACTTCTTATGGAAACAATGGAATTTCACAAGAATCTGGTCTAAATTTCCATGACATGCACCTGGCCTACCTGTGCTGTAAAATAATCTCCCTTGCCCACCACTGGCCTACCTGTGCTGTAAAATAATCTCCCTTTCCCACCACTGGCCTACCTGTGCTGTAAAATAATCTCCCTTTCCCACCACTGGCCTACCTTAACTGTAATAATCTCCCTTTCCCACCACTGGCCTACCTGTGCTGTAAAATAATCTCCCTTGCCCACCACTGGCCTACCTTAACTGTAAAATAGCCTCCCTTTCCCACCACTGGCCTACCTGTGCTGTAAAATAATCTCCCTTGCCCACCACTGGCCTACCTGTGCTGTAAAATAATCTCCCTTTCCCACCACTGGCCTACCTTAACTGTAATAATCCACCTTTCCCACCAATGGCCTACCTGTGCTGTAAAATAATCTCCCTTTCCCACCACTGGCCTACCTGTGCTGTAAAATAATCTCCCTTTCCCACCACTGGCCTACCTGTGCTGTAAAATAATCTCCCTTTCCCACCACAGGCCTACCTGTGCTGTAACATAATCTCCCTTGCCCACCACTGGCCTACCTGTGCTGTAAAATAATCTCCCTTTCCCACCACAGGCCTACCTGTGCTGTAACATAATCTCCCTTTCCCACCACAGGCCTACCTGTGCTGTAACATAATCTCCCTTGCCCACCACTGGCCTACCTGTGCTGTAAAATAATCTCCCTTTCCACCACTGGCCTACCTGTGCTGTAAAATAATCTCCCTTTCCCACCACTGGCCTACCTGTGCTGTAAAATAATCACCCTTTCCCACCACTGGCCTGCCCATGGCTCACCACTGACCCATACCACTGTGAAAACATGACAAAATAATTTCACAAGAATCTGGTTCCAATTTTCCTGATGTACACCTGGCCCAACTCAGCTTTGAAATGAACAAAATATTTTAAAATTCCTTGCATCACCTTGAGTTGTTTAGGATGTAAGTTAAGAGATAATGTGAATATAATTCTAAATTATACAGAAGATCAGACAATATTCGACCAAAAGTATGTATATAAAATACTCTAAACAACCCATAATTGATGTATTGACATGTAGTTTTCAGGTCAAAACAACTTTAAAACAACCCATAATTGATGTATTGACATGTGGTTTTCAGGTCAAAACAACTCTAAAACAACCCATAATTGACGTATTGACATGTGGTTTTCAGGTCAAAGCAACTCTAAAACAACCCATAATTGACGTATTGACATGTGGTTTTCAGGTCAAAAACAACTCTAAACAACCCATAATTGATGTATTGACATGTGGTTTTTAGGTCAAAATACCTCTAAACAACCCATAATCGATGTAGTGACATGTAATTTTCAGATCAGGAGGGAGAGACAGCTGGCTGAAGAAGGACATTCTTACATTCCCAGATACAGTTCTAAATGGAAAGAACACATGTAAACTTGAGTTGAAGAACTCCACTGATAGTCCACATACAGTAAGTCACTTTGTTTCAAATTGGGAACATGTAAACATTGAGAGTTCAAAAATTTAAAAACATACATGGTAAATTGAATTTTTTGTCAACTTGATACTTTTTTCTTTTGGGATATCAGTGATGTGTTGGAGGGTTGTCTGATTTTGAATGAATAAGAAAGGAGTGGTATCGATATGGAGAACTGAATTCAACACTGTTTTTCTCAATCATTGAAAACATTGGGAACAACATGTAAACATTGAGAGTTCAAAGATTTAACAACATACATGGTAAATTGAATTTTGTGAACTTGATACTTTTTCTTTTGGGATATCAGTGATGTGTTGGAGGGTTGTCTGATTTTGAATGGATAAGAAATTTGCATAATGTGGCAAGAAAGCTGAATGGTTAAAAATATAAATTATAGGTACTAGACTATACATTTAAGACATAGAAAACAATTGTAAGATTACAAATATATTTATTTTAATATTAAAATTATGCAGTGTCTAGTCAAATAAAATACAACATACAAGTACACATACATAAAATACTACACTTATAAATGTCTATAATTTTTGAGACTACAGTGTTCTCTTAGGATTTTGATTTAAGAGGATGCAAAATTCTTATTTCATAATATTGCCCAAAAAGAAATGTAATTTTCCATGATTTCTCCCATTTCAATTGGCTTAAAATGGGTATTCAGGTGAGTGAAAGCCTATTTTCAAAATCTCAGATGGATGTAGCATCCATTTGCTCTTACTGAATACTGGATCTTTTTATTGTTTGTTTAAGACATTTTGATATTTTAATAGAACTCCTCCTTTTTGGGGAGAATATACTGTCTGATCAGTTATAAAACATTTTATCAAGTTACAATAAAAAATAATACATACATGTGCATAGAAAATAAAATCTTACATTACAGCATCATAGTCTGCGTTACATAATACATTAGTCACTGAAACTCTACAAAGTACATTAAGTCAGGTACAATGTATTTAAAACCACAGATTTTAAATTGAGTTCATTTTCAAGATTTCCTTTTTGAAAATGTTCAAAACATATATGATCAGTTGTTAAACAATATTTCATCATGCAAGAGTTAAAATAAAATCTGAGTTACATAAATATCTTCATATTGTATATTATATAAGTTATTGAATGCTTTGAAGTACAATACAGGATATATTGTGGTCGAGAAATTCTTTATTGGCATGAGACAAAGTTGAGAACTGACCAATCAGAGGGCTTCATTTTACAGATCTTTCGATAATTTTTTATTTTATTGGCATCTTTACAGTTGACTAGTAAATATAATTTAAAATTATATATAAAATATATTATATTAAAAAATATATTACATTTAAATTGGTTTTACAATCACGATATGAAATATTATATGTCTGTATCAGTACAGATACATGTACTGATTTAGAGGTATATGAACAGGTTAACAAATTCTCTCAAATTCAGTATGCATTATGGTAGCTTTATAAACAATATGGTACACATTACATTGAATAAATTCATAGTCTGATAATATTGATTCTGTTCATTAGTATTCTTTGTCACAGACTGTATTTCTTTTATTTTAGATGTTTCGAATGCATACTGCATCCATGATTACTAATTTTTTTTAAATAAAACAGTTGAAATAAATCCAGGTAAATCTACTGCTTACTATGTATTTCAACTGTTTCATTTAAAAAAAATTATTGATCATGTATGCAGTATTCATTTGAAATGTCTGAAATAAAAGAAATACAGTCTGTGACAAAGAATACTAATAAACGGAACATAGTAGACATGTTTTTAAACAAGTACATGTACTGATTTAATTTGTATATTTATTTATTATAGTGCCTCGTATAATTTACACCCAGCCTATTTTAGGCTTATGGGGCACATTGTACAATATTAAAAAAAAAAATATTTAATTTGTGAAAGTAACAGATCACTTTCTGTTACATCAAAGAACTCTGATAAGATAGACCTCAAATATTTGCATTTTGTAAAAATATTATTGACATCATAACTTTAAATGTGCATATAGATTGCACTCGAAATACATTTTCTTTTCACGTCTGTATGTCTATCCTGGGACTACATTTATTAAGCAGTTACAGGGCTGTACTATTTTGATCCTGGGGTCAAACTTTTAACCTCATTCCAAAATATTTGAATTTAGTTTTTTCCCTAAACACAAAATATTTGTTATGTGCTATGTTTTTATTAAGTAATATTTAATTTACCTTAGTATTTCATAACATGAAATGCATGTTTTGAATTTTCATATAGAGTGGGTATTCAGTGGCATAGACAGGATGAAAAAAGGATAGAAAACATTAAGAAGAAAAAAGCTTTGGACAAGAATTACTGTAAATTTTTCGTTGGAAATATGAACAAAAAGTTAGGTAAAACACCATTAAAATATGAACTTAGTTTGATGATGGCAATAGAGGAACATGATGATAATCCTTGTCTATGACGTCATAATCGTATGTGACCAACCCCGAAATATCTCAGGGTGGTGTCCAGTAATTGTCACAGAATCTGTACCAGTTATCTTACCAAATATTCTAGTGGTCACTGGGGGATCCTGGTAGGGTGCAATTGAAATATTTTGTCATTGGCTTCACAAATCAGTAATCATTTTAGTACATAAACATTTTTAATGGTCATCTAAGTTTGCGGAAATGCCAATAGGAAATAACCAACAGCCAATTCACTGATTCAATTTTGGTGAAGAATATTTAATATGTGCATGCATGAGATATTAAATTCAGTTACATGTTTGTTTCTTAACCATATTACGTATATAAACAGTCTGTTTTGAAGATTTTTTCAATAAATATGTGTTTGATAACAGTTGAGTTTATGAATGTAGATTATGTTGTCAGATCCAGTATGCTGTTCATGTGTGTAGATTATCTTAATAGAATCATCAAAGCCTTTGAGTGAATTATAAATATTGTTTATGCTTTAAATAGACATTTTGATTTCTTATTGCTCATTATATGGAGAGTACAGTTCATGGTAATATTGCTGGGTTGTTTTGTGTATTCGTGTTTTAGTAATATCACTTCTTATAACATGAACTATAGGTGTGAGTCCTGATCATCATATTATTTTATTTGATTTGATTAGTTTGAGCTTTCTTACATATTGCTATGTTTCTCAATGTCATTTCAACTTCGGGATGTGAATCTCCCCCATACACCTTTATCTCTATAGTTAAACACTCATTGTAGTACATCATTGCTCTGGTATGTTCTCCCATTTTATGATACACATCACCTATATTATATAATGACCGTGCTACATCTGGGTGTGGGTTATCTCCATGTATTGTTGTTTTCATTGTTAAACTATCTTCATAATATTTCTTAGCTGTGGTGTACTCTCCCATCATCTCATATACAACACCTATATTATTTAATGAGTCTGCTACATCTGGGTGTGGGTTATCTCCATGTATTCTCATTCTCATTGATAAACTATCTTCTTTATATTTCTTTGCTTTGGTATACTCTCCCATCTTCTCATACACAACACCTATATTATTTAATGACTGTGCTACATCTGGGTGTGGGTTATTTCCATGTATTCTCATTCTCATTGATAAACTATCTTCACAATATTTCTTAGCTGTGGTGTACTCTCCCATCATCTCATATACAACACCTATATTATTTAATGACTGTGCTACATCTGGGTGTGGGTTATCTTGATGTATTTTCATCATCATTGATAAACTATCTTCATAATATTTCTTAGCTGTGGTGTACTCTCCCATCTTCTCATACACAACACCCATATTATTTAATGACTTTGCTACATCTGGGTGTGGGTTATCTCCATGTATTCTCATTCTCATTGATAAACTATCTTCACAATATTTCTTAGCTGTGGTGTACTCTCCCATCTTCTCATACACAACACCCATATTATTTAATGACTTTGCTACATCTGGGTGTGGGTTATTTCCATGTATTCTCATTCTCATTGATAAACTATCTTCACAATATTTCTTAGCTGTGGTGTACTCTCCCATCTTCTCATACACAACACCCATATTATTTAATGACTTTGCTACATCTGGGTGTGGGTTATCTCCATGTATTCTCTTTAACATTGTTAGTGTTTTCTTTTTATGTTGCAATGCCTGTTTAAAGTCACCACATGTTTCATGCAGTATACCAATTTCCCATTGCAGTAAAGCAATATCATTTTCATTTTCTGCCATTCCAGCATTCTCTTTCTTTTCTAATTCTAGTTGATAAGCAACTAATGCCTGTTTTGAGAAATACATGTCTTTGTATAATTGACCTTTTACAATATTGCTATCTTCTTTGTACCCTTCTTTGTGTTTCCATGTATTGGTGTTGTTTTTCTGATAGACCAAAAATTTAGACCATGATATGAAAATAGTGTAAAATTGGATGATTGCAGTGTATCCTCTTACAGGTAAAACCTTAGTCAAGTCTGTTGCATATTCATCAGATTCACTCAACAAAAATGATATGATTTCTTTTTGTTGTTTATATTTGCTATATACCATATGTCTGAGATTAGTTGCAATGCAAACCATAATTTGCAAATCCTTTTTGCCCTTTCAGTTAGAATGTTTTTTTCATGCAATTCATCCAACACATCTAAAGGAGCAAAGGATTTACAACCATGCAGTAACTTAAGCATGGTTATAGAGATAGTTGCTAACCTGTAAACATCATGTTTGGTATGCATTGCCTTACTGAATGATTCACTTGTCAGAGGGTTTTTACTATATTTCTCTAGATCTTTGTTTAGTGTTTTCATGGCCCTTTCTGCTCCTACTGATACATTTTGTTCCATAGAAGGGGATTGTAATATGAAATTTACCTTCTCATTATAGTCATGCCAAAGAGCCTCATCTCCTGTAATCAAGGCTGAATTCATCAACACATCACTGAGATGATACCCCTCTTTTATTGATTCATCAGTAAATTGGTATTGAGTCATTTCATCTACTGTCATGATAAGTTCTAGTCTAGGTGGTTTGTTAAGGTCCTTCCTTGTTATTCTCCCTATTGGTGTTTTACTGGCAAAAGGTTGAGGTCCATCGAAAGAAATGCCTCGTATCGTAACTTTGTCCCAAAAGTCCACATTGGTCATTCCAGGTGGCAGTCTGTCGTTCAAGTCTGTCAAAACTGGTATGTCCATACTGTTAAGAATGGTCTCTCCTAAATTCAGTATATGCAGATGCACATAATAAACTAACATACGCAACTCATTTCTAACTTGTACATCAGGTTGGTTTAATGGATCATACAATATTGCCCACTCTATATCAGAATAAGCTGTCACTTCCTTGCGGGACAGTGACCCTAAAGCCATAATAGCAACCCTGTATTTACAATTTTCAAGCCCTAGAACAGACATACAATTTGTAATGATTGATCGATAAAATTCTAAAAGCTTCTCTGTGAGATTGTTATAGTAGACCTTACTGTGTGCTATTGTATTGTCCTCATAAGCAGGTTTCATCTCTGATGTAACATCATCTACAACCATGTCATTGTCAATGATGTCATTCACAGTGTTCTCTGAGTAGTTTCGTATTGTTTCAAGTGCCTCTTTGTACTTCCTTGTGAGTTCATTTGTTGACATTGTGTTCTCTTTAGACAGTTTATTGAGAAAGTCAGTGTCAGTTTGTTGTATTCTTTGGTCAATATAATCAGCATTATATATTGATGTTGAACTGGATAAAGTTAATCTCTTTACTTTTTGCAATAGTGTTTCAGTGGGCTGACGACACCTAGCAGCATTGAAGAGACCAGATGCCCAGACATAATGTTCATACCAGGTTGGAGAGGTCTCAGCTGATGCTATAAACTCATCACCCAGTTCACACATTAGATCTGCCTGTTTCTTTAGTTCTGATTCTGTTTTACTTTCTTGATATTCTTTAATTTTACAGCCTAGGTCATACATTTTCTGGGTGATTTCTAAAAGAGGAGAATTTATCTCTTTGGATTTGGATCTATAATGAACTTAAAAACCAGAGGTTCAGCCATATTTTCTCTTTGGTAAATTCTAGTGGCTATACTATATCAGAATACTAGTATAGTATTTATAAAGTTACAAAATTATTATAGAACCCATCAAGCATCCCAACTAATCACTAAGAAGGGAGGGGGGAGTTGACCTACCTTGAAATTCAAAGGATGAATATGTTCCTTATAAAATTTATTTTAAATCAGTTTTTTTTTTATCTAAACCATGGTCATTAAGTAGCAAGTTTTCTTTGAAAAGCAGTATCACATACAGGGTGACCCCAAAAAGTATTATGTGTAATAAATTCCTTGATATTTACTTTATTCTCCATAAACTACACCCTTTGGATGATAATGTTAAATTTAAGTTGGTTCATACCGTTTCAATGCAATGGACACATTTTTCCAAGTAACAAATAGAAGTCAGTTTTGTGACAAAATGTGTACAGAATAAAATATTGTTCTTCCAGTGTTGCCTATGTATGGTTTGGTTATTGGGTACTTTTTGGCTCATCCCGTATGGGCTACTTTTCTACACACATAAATTACAGGTTGTTTCATATTAAGATAGGTATATCTCAAGTTTTGTGACACCCTGTACTATAAATGTAATAGTGTTTTCCCATTATTGCCGTTGTAATATCATAGGCTGACATACCTGATGGATTTGGTCCTGGGTTCATTTCAATTCCCCCAATGACCAACAGCATTGTGATGATTATGAGCATGGTTCCAGTGTTTTCAGATGTGTCTGTATCTTCTGCAGAACTCAGTAGTATATGGCTAGGCTGATTTCCTTTAAATGTTCCGATTGCGGCTCTCCATTGGCCTAAAGTGTTTCCCATTTTGACAATTTTTATTTTTAAATGTTAATGATGGCTGTTTTTCCTCTCAAGCTATTTGATACAGATGGCTATAGGCTGAGTAAGTTTGATATTGTCCAGTCTATGTCATCAACGCCACTTCATTCTCTAATTTAATGAGATTTCTTTCGTTTTAATAAGCAACTGGTTGCCTTGAAGAGGTTTTGACTTTATCATGCATTGAATCTGTTAAACTAATTCAGGACTAGACAAGCTACCAGCACCATATTTGGGCATAAGAGTGCAAAATGGCTCCCCAAACACTTGATAACAAGTCAGATGATCAGTCAGAGACATTCAGAGTATTATATTGTAAAGAGGTGGTTTTCTACTTGAAAGAAATTCAAAAAGTTCAAAGTTTTATAGGTTGACTAATCAACATTGAATGTCATATGATAAAGCAACAACACTTGAGAGGGAGCATCACTAGATACAATGTGTAAATCAAATTGTAAAACCCTTGAAAACAAGATGAAAAGTTGAAAGTTAAGAATTGAAGCATCATAAACAATAAACACACTGTTTGACATTGAAACCTGACCAAAAACATTATGGTTTTAATTTTTGTGAGACATTGATTTTTTTACACATGTACTCACCTTGTTCTATCAAAGTACTTTTACCTTGTGTCATTCTAGTTTAGTTTAAACATAATTATGATCCGAGACTATTTTCCTGATACTAATCACATCTTTCTGTTTTCAAACTTCCAATATCAACATCTAGAAAATTGTTGATAGATGACTGTAATCTAAAATAAACTTTTTGGTAATTTTGAAAGAACCAGGTTATGGTATGGCAAGTGATTTTAGACAGTTATATCTTTGTCAATGAGTATTTTCTATGTTTTTCCAAAGGATAATTAAATGTCTGTCTGACTGTCCAAAGATGGATGGATTAGGAGGACCTCACTTAGACACATTTCTTTAATTTTTTTTCGTAAAAGAGAATCTTCTTTTTCATTATTTTGATATGAATAGATTATATGTATATACAAGGAACACATTTTTATACTGAAAAATGTCATATGTATGATATGACCTTCTAGAATCAGTTAGAGTGCATACATTGTATGCAGAGTCTTTGAGAACAACAGAGATTATCATTTGCATAATGATGACAATGTGCCGAAATATCTTGTGAATACTTTTATTGTAATCATTCTTCCCTATAGACAGATGACTCCTCAATCGACTTCCTTGTTACCAGAAGACACTCTTACTAAAACACCACCTCGAGTTAATTTTATACTAAGATTCTGTCACTATTAGGACAAATGTCATATGTCAAAGCAAAGAATATTGTGCAGTTAAACATGTTTCAAGTGAACACCTGGAGGACCAGATAAATGTGTTACATTATTATTATATAGTGAGATATTTACACAGACAGGCTTTTCTGTACCCCTAAATGGGAATACCTCAAAATCAAACAACATGTGAATAGTTTTTATGTATAAAGAAGTATATGAACATCTATTTTTTACATGCTTTACATCCATGCATGGAAACTATGAAGTATGTATATGCATAAATGCTAATCTTGTGTTTGTCATTTTCAGCTTGAAGTGATATCCCCACAACCTCCTTACTATGTCAGCCACAACAAAATCAAAGTCAAGTAAGAATATACTCCTTTTTCATATTTCAATTGATTTTCATGAAGTATTTATTTAGTGGTTATGAACATGCATTTCTTAACGGCCTCACATAGCAAATGTTTTTCCTGAACTTTCAATTAAAATGATCTTTTATTAACTTTTTCTCATGATTTTCCAGGGCAGGTCACTTTGCAAGATTACCTGTTGACTACAGACCTACCACACTAGGAGAACACAGGACTCTGCTAGTGCTACGTATAGACACTGGAACCAGTCTTAGTGTTCAACTAAATGGCCATTGTGTGTAACACATAACTATCTGTTAACACAGACCTACCACACTAGGAGAACACAGGACTCTGCTAGTGCTACGTATAGACACTGGAACCAATCTTAGTATTCAACTAAATGGCCATTGTGTGTAACATATAACTATCTGTTAACACAGACCTACCACACTAGGAGAACACAGGACTCTGCTAGTGCTACGTATAGACACTGGAACCAGTCTGAGTGTTCAACTAAATGGCCATTGTGTGTAACACATAACTATCTGTTAACACAGACCTACCACACTAGGAGAACACAGGACTCTGCTAGTGCTACGTATAGACACTGGAACCAATCTTAGTATTCAACTAAATGGCCATTGTGTGTAACATATAACTATCTGTTAACACAGACCTACCACACTAGGAGAACACAGGACTCTGCTAGTGCTACGTATAGACACTGGAACCAGTCTGAGTGTTCAACTAAATGGCCATTGTGTGTAACACATAACTATCTGTTAACACAGACCTACCACACTAGGAGAACACAGGACTCTGCTAGTGCTACGTATAGACACTGGAACCAGTCTTAGTCTTCAACTAAATGGCCATTATGTATAACATTAGACCATACTACAACTACATACATACTCAACTACAGTGCCATGAACAAAAGTACAGCCATACGCAACAAGACTTATGAAAGCACCATCTATTATATTGACTTAAGTTAAGAACTTTTATCCAAAACACTGAACATTTTCATAATACTGATACTGTACCTGTGTCCAATATAAGTAAGATGCAGGGTGACCCTCTAATTTTGGAACAAGTTTCTCACTTATTTTTAAGTCTTGTTTCATGTGTATTTTAAGTGTTCAAAAGATCAAACAGCTGTATACTTATATTGTCTGTATGGCTTTAAAAGATATAAAGAAATCACATTGTTCTGAAATTTTAGGATTCCACTTTTTGGCATCACACTATATAGTGCAACCCATTATAAACTATGCAATATATTTATTTAATGTTAAACAAATGGAAGAGCATTTTAAATGCAGAATTGCTTGTGCTTGTATATATAAAAGCTATGATATAAATAAACGATTCTTCTGCCATGCTTGGGACGTAATATTGCACTAAGAGAAAATATTATGTGTCCTGTAGATAACAGACAAGAAATTAGAGGTCAATGTACTGTACATGCATGCATATTTGTAATTGCTATTGTTTGCACTGTGAAGCATGTGAACACCTATCGAGAATGAACATCTTGAAATGTGAACACACTTTAGTATTCAATCTGTTCCATATCATTGGAACCTCTAGATGTGAAGACTTCAGTATGAATATTTTTTGCTCAGTTAACAATAGAACTACCAATCCAATAGTATAGATATAGATGGCACGATACACTGAAATTGTTTGCTGAATTCTGAATTAAAAATATGTAAGTACAGTAAAACTAGTAGGCATGGCACATATTTGGTGTCTCCAGCATGGCACACCCTTGGTGTCTCATAGTGTTTCACTAATAGGCATGGCACACCTTTGGTGTCTCATAGAGAGTTTCACTAGTAGGCATGGCACACCTTTGGTGTCTCATAGAGTGTTTCACTAGTAGGCATGGCACACCTTTGGTGTCTCATAGAGAGTTTCACTAGTAGGCATGGCCCAGCTTTGGTGTCTCATTGAGTGTTTTACTAGTAGACATGGCACACCTTTGGTGTCACATAGAGTGTTTCATTAGTAGGCATGGCACACCTTTGGTGTCTCATAGAGAGTTTCACTAGTAGGCATGGCACACCTTTGGTGTCTCATAGAGTGTTTCACTAGTAGGCATGGCACACCTTTGGTGTCTCATAGAGTGTTTCACTAGTAGGCATGGCACACCTTTGGTGTCTCATAGAGTGTTTCACTAGTAGGCATGGCACACCTTTGGTGTCTCATGGAGTGTTTCACTAGTAGGTATGGCACACCTTTGGTGTCTCATAGAGAGTTTCACTAGTAGGCATGGCACACCTTTGGTGTCTCATAGAGTGTTTCACTAGTAGGCATGGCACACCTTTGGTGTCTCATGGAGTGTTTCACATGGGAGAAGTTTCATTAACTTGGGTTCATTTCAAGTCAGTGGGTAGCAGGACTGCGAAATGTTCCTCATATAAAAGTGTGCAATTTACAGAGGTGTTCCATTTCACAGGTTTTACTGTTTAATCCAATTTTCAGATACAGTATATACCTTTAATTGTAATAAGTATGAACAATGGTTGGCAATTCTATTGACTATCCAGGGTCCGAAAACTTGTTTCATAATTTTTATAAAAATAATAGAAAACACTTATGTATTGTGTATTTATTTAGTGTCACTGGATAAATGATTAGATGCCAGTGTATATTGATGTCAGATTGTCTTATTTAAAGTTTGCTTGTACAGCGTGTAATCGGAAAATGTCAAATTGAATGTCAATAAATTATTTTTGGAATTAATATTGTTCTTTTGTTGGCTAATTGTCACCGGTAATAGTTGTGACAAAATGGAGTTTCATTAGAGAGGAGGAGCTAATTGAAAAAATTGATAGGAAAGTTATTAACATTCAGGTGATCTGGGAGTTACAGGGGGATATAGGCCTTAAGTTTTGAGACAATCCAATATGCATTATATTTCTCCAAATTATTTAAGACAACCCCATGCGATTCTCATTTGGGGGTTTAACATAATTGCAACATCATCATGTGGATCATGTGACAACACTATACCATCCAATGTGTGTCTGACCTTAAAATTGAATAACCATTGAAAACGAGATATTAAAAAAAAACATTCAAGTTTTGTTTAAGGTCTTACCCTCTCATATATTATGTTTTTGTGGGCTTCTTGATAGACCACAATTCCTCCCCCAAAAACCTTAGAAAGATGCTCAATCACAAGTAGTGGGGTGGGGAATTTGCTTTCAGATTATTGCCTTTTGTAAATATAAAAATCCACAAAGTCTAATGTTGGTGATGCAATTTAATGTTATTTATTTCTAACCATGGTGATACAAAAAATAAATGCATATGATAGTAGAAATATGATTCGATGTAATTGCTGTATAAGTTCCTGTCTATAATGCTCTTTATGTATGACTTACATAATATATACTATCAATATCCATAAGGATATGACTGATTATTTTCATGAACAATCTTGAGTGTACATGTGGGGTAACATTAGAGAATCATAAAAATGATGCACTTTTTCTACAATAGCAGGACATAACTTAAATTTAAAAATTAATCGTCTCGATTAAAATATCTTCACTAAACAGGCCCTAACAGTCGTGTATCAAGCCCTTATGCCCTCCTCATCTGATCATCTTACATCTGCCAGACTGCCAGTATTATACTCCAGAATTTAGAAGAGAAAAGAAGTAGACAACATAGTGTCTCAATGCTAGATTTGGTGATAATTTGCAATGGTTGATTATTTTCAATGGTTGATTTGGTGATCATTTTCAATGGTTATTTTCAATGGTTGACTTATTATTCTTTTCAATGGTTGATTTGGTGATCATTTTCAATGGTTATTTTCAATGGTTGACTTATTATTATTTTCAATGGTTGATTTGGTGATCATTTTCGATGGTTGACAAGGACCCTTCATTAATCTCTTTTCTGATCAAAGATGCACTCCTATATATCTAGGAGTGTGATATAAGCCAACCTAGATACTTTAATTTGAGCTGAATTTCAGCATATATTAAAAAAAATTCAATATGCATCATATTTAGTGAATATTATTGATATCTTCGTGAATGAGTTCAGGTCAAAAAAGTGGATTTTTAATGAGATTTTTTGCAAAGAATTTAAAAAAACTTTGGAAAAATCCAAGTCTCTTTTTTTAAAATTTGGAAAAACATTCAAACCATTGAAGACAATGTACCACTATATCTTTGCATGATATTTGATCAATGGTCTTACAACCATTGGATAAGTGAAAATTACATTGAAACTAGACTGGTCCTTAATTAAATTTCAACCAATAAGTCTGAAATGCTTATGACACACCCCTATGTAATGTCATTAACATACTTTTCTTACATTGAACTTTTGTACCAATGCACCTGGATGTCTATTTCCGTGAGCTAAAGGGTAACGACCGATCAATACTATAACAAAGGTTTACCACGACATTCTATGTTACACAGTTATTTATGAGCGTGATGATAATACTGGTTACAGCTCAAATGATTAAATATCTGTCAATTAATTAAATAAACACAAGTCCATACAAGTTTAGTGCATCTATATAAGTTGAAACCTGGCAGATTACCACTTTGTAAAGCATCTACATTTAGAATATATTTGTTAATGAATGAACAATAAATGTGGTTTTACTAATACAAACAGATAAAGAGAGGCTGAATAATTTGTGCACCTTATATCCATCATTCCCAATGTCTATATGCATATTACTGTTGTCAGAAGAGAATTGAACTGGTGATTTGTGAAACCGTAACTCCATATATGGAAATGTATTAATCGACACCCTCTTGGGGCCATCCAAGTTGTTTAACTAAACCTCCTTTTGATTTGCAATATCGTCCATATTTTTCTAACATATGTTCTTTTTCTGTTGATCGCCATCCAATTACTCGAGATGTGGTGGCGGGAAAGGGTTTTGGGGAAGGTCCAACTTTAATATATTTTTCTATAGGTGTCACTGGTGGTATTCTTAGAGGCGTAGGAATGTCTCGTTTAACTTTCTCTCTTTCTGGAAAATCATCTTTTACAAGCTGAAAATAAAAGAAAGGAATATTTAATTTTTTTTTTCAGCAACTTATAAATATAAAGTATAAAAATATAAATATATAAATAGATCTACATCCATTATATTAAATTCTTAAAAAATGACAGATTTAGAACAAGAAATAAACATCGAGAGCCATAAATTGGGATGAAGATATTTAGAATATACACCCCCTCCATAAGTCCATATGTTTGACAATGAGAAACTTTCTTCTGGATTGCATGATTATGTTGAGTGGTTTAAAAAATTCATCAAACTCAAATTTAACATGGTTAAAACATCTGGCTGTCAAACTTATGGAGGGGAGTGTAAATACTTGTTAAGTGATGTTGGATAAAATCTCTGTGTTTCATAGTTTGGGACAAGTAATTTCAAGAAATTAAAATTACAAATGTCTTTTCCTCAGGAGGTCTATGAAATAATTTACACCTTCAATTTCTCTTTTGCACTTATAAAGCTCATTATCTGCTGCGTTGATTAAGCCTGTATTGTAATTCAGTCAAAATTCATTCAATTATTTGCATATTTATGAGTTAATCTATGCAATAAAAACATGATTAAATGGTAATGTTTCTATCATTGTGACATTTACTAGAGGAAAATTTTCATTTCCTAATGTTGTCTATGCATAAAATTACACAGTTCATGCTTAATCCACACATCAATTTCGCTCCAAAATACCCATGTAATGTTTAATTTTCTTGTATTTCTAAACAATTAAGAGTATTGATCACATCCCTATATGTTTTTTGTCTTCCCAAGTGCACCCTTTTCCTCTATATTTCAAATTCTAAATGGAATTATTGTGATATTTCATGTACAGTTTGCTGTTTTTTATGAATGGGGAATCACAGACTCATGATTCATTTCAATATAAATCTCCTAAAATATAATGAGGTAATAAAACATTGCCATAAAGCTGCGAAATGTGTTAGGATTGAGTGATAAATTTGATATTTCTGTTGAAGATAATCAACAGATAAGGCATCCACGCGAAGAAAAATATTCAATGTTACGCAGAGGGAAAACCATCATCATTAAGAATATCCCCAGTGTTTTTCGGCTTTTGCACAACGATGTAATATGCACCCCTTTATCCCTTATCAAATTAATTAAATTGCGGTTTTATTATTTTGTACTAATGCGATAGCCGCACAAAAGTATTTCTCCCTCAGGGTTTTATGTTGGCCGATCATGAGTTTTGTACCGGGTGACCTTCGTCTTGGACTCGTTGACTTAGTTACGTGACCTGACCATTAGGTTGATTCATCCTGACTTCGCGTGTCACCCTTGATAAAAAAATTCAGTAAAAAATAATGTTTTTTTCTCTATACATTCACATTTTCCATGGAACTGTTTATCTAATTTTCCTAAAAACTTGCTCTCTCTGAAATGTAATGTTAAATGAAACAAATATTTAAAAAAACAGTTTCAAAGAAATCTAGTGTTAAGAGTATAGTTTAATAAACAAGTTTCTTATATGTGCCAGTTTCAGTTATACTTAGAATGTACTTAATTTTTTATTGAGTCTGGAGTTAGGTAAACATCAAATAGTTTAATTTAGTAAATATTCAATAAGTTAAACTAATTTTGCTCTAAAACTTTTATTTATCAATATCTCCTACAGAGCCGCATTCAAACAGCAATCTGCAAATTATTATGCTCATGAACATTGACTCTGCGTTCAGTAGTTGCTATGGTAACCACTGCTAAGGCTTCGCACAGAGGGAGAATTACCCCAGAGTTTAAAGATGATGTTCGCTTATAATGTAAACCTGTATTGAGATGATAAACATCTCTGATTGGTCAAAAATCGACAAATAAACGACTTCATCAATGACCACTTCAAAATTTTCTTTGAATACACTTTGAATAATATTTCTGGCGTTTTAACCAATATCATAGCTTCTTATTTCACATCAAGATAAAGAAAGGTGTATGTAATATTGCTACATCAATTAAAACATCACATCGAATTGTAGTATTTGGAAACTAGCGAGTGAAAATTGAACAAACAAAGGTGGTAATCAAGAGACGTAAATATTTCTGTTATCTCTAAAGCTCTGGGCCTTTCCCTCCTCTAGGTTCGGCATAGAAATATCTTGATTAATTAAAAAACTTGACTAATTTAGAGTTGAAAATTATATTTGTTTGTCTTTTATGACTGTAAAACAGTACATACCAATTTAATAATGACAATAACTATACTCCTAAGAACTCACAAAATTATAAAATAATAAACTGGCACATAATAAAAGATATCAAAAACCATATGTGACGCCATCAAAAGGACAACAAGTGCGCTAAAGCATCAGATTTCTTGCTTGGGAAGAACTAACCAACAACAACATAATATAACCTCCAGGGCATGCATGTTTTTATTTTTTTTATTTTGTATTAAAACATAGTTTTTGATCTTCTTTCGAATCATGGGCTTTTTTAAAGCGTTTTCTTGAAAGCCCATGTTTGAATGGTATGAGACGTATTAAGGGTGAAAGCACTTTCTCCTGAAGAACCAATTGTCAACTTTTGTTCAAATAATATCAAGGAACTTCACTGGGTAGTTTAAGTATGCTATGTGGCAAATAAATTCTCAAATAGTTTCCAATGGGTGGGGTGGCACCATAGATCAAAGAATTGTTTCTTGTTATAATTGTGTACATGAAATCCTCTTTTAAACTCTTGCAAATGGGATTTATCATATACAAAGCCTTTTTCTCAAAACTTATTGATCAGCCTAGGTCTCTTATCCAATTCAGTTCTATATCATATGTATATACTGTACTTCTAATCTCACATGTATAAGGTTTACAACAATTTTATAATTGATAACTAGCATAAAGTACCTAATTTGATTTATATAAGTGAAGTATGTAAAAAATTGGTGAAATCAGAAGCCCTTGTCTTCAAATAGATTTGAAGTACTCTGTATTAACTTACATCTTCGTATTTGGTTGTAAGAAAGTTCCAGTTTTCTGGCCAATCTTTTGCAGCTACCTTCTCATGGTCAACATGGCTTTTCCTAAAAAAGAATAGATAGCATGTGTGAAACATTTATCATGAACATGCAAAATGTCATCACCTGCCATTTGTTACAGTGTCGACTGCCGAACACTGAATGCCAAATACCAACCACTGAACGCTGAAAACCATCCATAAAAAAGTTGGAAAAGTGGTGTGATACGATATTCAGATCTTATTTATTGTAACTTTGTCTTAAATGATGATGTACAGCATGATCAGATTTATATGGTTTTGCTGTTGGCCTATGAAGGTTACTGATCATGGGCTTTCTAAAAACCTTATGACTGAGGTTACCAAACTTGGGATGAAGATGGGACAAGCACTGGCAGACACTGTCGGTGTGTGCAAGGTCGATGATATCTAACTTTGATAGATCCATGGTCACTGGTCGTAGATTTTAATTCTCAAAACAACACATTCAGATCATTTATAAGTAAACTAGTGAAGTCAATGTGTAAAGACAAAGTGACAGTGGCACTCTATTCTTAAAAATGAATGATTTTTCTCACCATATTTGATCCTGTGCTACATAATTGCACCCAGCAACGGCCATCCCCTGAGGCTTTCCTGTCGCTGCCATGGGGACTGTCAATTCTCTTCTATGATCGTCAGGAATTTCTTAAAATCTCAATATTTGTGGACATTCGACTTGCAAATAAAAATGCTTGTTATGATTGGATTTAGCACTATAGCAACAGTAGGAATGCTTCCGCTTTGCAGACGATATTTTGTACTTTGCCGGTACAATGTCTTATTTTCACAGCAATCACTTAATTCTAAGCTGTCTTAGCAACATAAATAGAAGATGGGTATATGGAGTAATATATGGTAGCATATTGAAAACCCAAAGCACGTTTACAATGGATAAATTTGGAAACTTTGTCAATTAGTGATGAAAAGAAGACACTATTGCAGATTTTATTTAAATAATCTTTATAAGAGATTGCAGTTGAATATTTCTTTGATGATATGCATTCACTAATAACTATTTAACTTGTTGTAGCATAGTTTCATTGATCAATTAATACTTTGTTCTTTTCCACAATAAGAACATTTGTCAAATTTATTATAATTGTGCATCAGTTGTTTCGTGGTAAATATCAATTAACGTTCGATAATTTCCGTTTCGTCTCGGCAGGCTACGGAATGCGCGCTAGACAATGCGCAATGGCAAAAATGTTTCAGACGAAAGTGGATCGAATTTATTGTGTTTTACAGGATATTTAACCATTACATATGACATTCCTGCAACTTTGCAGCGGATATTATAACGGCATAGGACATCTGGAGATTCCACCGTTCCTCAGACATGCTTTTATGCTTCATGATCCTAGGTAAGATGGTTTTAATACAAGGCTATCGTCTCAGACATACTGTCAAGCACCACTTCCGGTTAAAAAATTAACTTCCTGTGAAGTATGTTTTAAAACCTCATGTTTTCTCTGTTTGTAGTGGCACTGCTGTTCGATACGGTTATTGCAGACGGTGAGTAGATTATAAATGTTTCATAAAACGTTATTTGAAGTGCACAGTATTGTTGCAAACAATAAATCTAGCGTACTGAAGTTTCACCAAATTCTTATGCAAAAGCCAAAAGTGCATAAACATTCAAAATGCTCCAGGCCTAAGTTTATTATGACCCGATTGTATTTACTGGTACCTAATGCATAATAACAAATGGCGTATGATAACAAAATATTATTCTATAATGATCATGATAAAGTAACTGTCATTTTGCATAAGATATTTCATTTCATGATATTTCATTATGTCATTTTGCATAGATAGTCTTGCATTTGGTAGTTCTGCATTATCTTAGGTCTAGATTTTGAAACTTTATCAAACTTTGATTTGTTGGTTTAGTGGTTAACTTAGATGTTAATATCAACTTGCGGTTTGTTGACAATGATTGATCAAATAAAAGTGTACCTTTGTTATTGTTGGAGGTTAATATAGTCTAGTCGATAATATAATGTTGTTATTTTTAGATTGTTTACCAGCTGTTGTGTTTTAAGTTCAGCTCGGATTGTGAATAATGTTTATGTGAATTTAATGTTGTGATGTGAATCGGTGATGTTTTTCATGGAGGATCTAATCAGATATACTAAAAACTATCTTCTTTAAGTGAAAGCAAGGTTTTCTTGATACACTTACCTAATGTTAGAGGTATTTCATTGATAAGTTCAGCATACTTTCAAGCTGAATATAGTCTCAAAATCACTACTAAAATTAAATTTAAAAAAGCAGTTGATATTGCTTCTTGTTAATGAAATGTTTGACTAGTCTAGTAATAGCAGGCGCGTATCGTGGTCATTTTGCAAGGGTACGCCCCTGTATGTGGATGAATAATGTGTGAAGATGAATGCGATTTTTGGCATATGATTTTTCGTGCAGACCTACCATAGGTTCTGGGTCGATATAAAGATGGCAGCACGAACGTACAAGAATGACGCAACTCTTTGAATCACGAAAAAATTTGAATCTTTGAATCACGAAAACAGTGAATGGCAATGAGGGAATCGAGAACTTATTGTTAATACACTTGTACGACAAAGGTTTACACATCATCAAAGAAAATAACAGTAAAATACTGAATTTCATGTTTTTTCAAAATATTTTTTCAAATTCAAACAGTACGCCTGGGCGTATTTTGCGTACATGACGATACGCGCCTGAATAGTATACATGGTCGAACCAGGATTTAAAAACAGACAAATTTAAATTCAGGAGAGATTTGAGTAAAAGGTGAAATGATGATACTTTTCAGTAAACTTTTACCTGCCTTCATGTAAAACCATGACAGATATTTCATTGTTTTTACATGAAGTTAAAATTTTACTTATGTTCCTTGATCTTATTGCTCGCCGTGTGGTCATGTCTACAATTTATTTTCTCTTTCAAGATTAATAGGTAAAAAGTGACGACTTGTCCTTATACATACAAATTGCTTTATCACTCTACAGTGTGTGTTTTAAGTTACCTATTTTAGTATTTTAGGTTATCTGCTGAAATTGATCAAAATTTAAGATTCTCCAATTCTTTTATATTTAAGGAAGTATTCTGTCTGTATCTGCGGAAGTAGAAAACTAGGAGGTGTGATTATACCAAAGTGCATTCAGTAAAAGGGCATCCAAATATTAAAGTTTCTGTATGATCATTGATAAGAACTGCTTTTTTCGAGGTCTCCTCTGCCGAAGGCAGCGCAAGTAGGAGCGTAGCGACTACTTTGCGGGAGACCTCGAACCATTGATCACGTTTGCTCCTGTAATTATTCACTTCTTCACCTCTTTAAAATGTGATTTCAATCAGTTGATCAAATTTTCGGACTTTGACCTCAAATTCAAATATTAATATTTATAAGAAAAAATACTGACTCATTATTATATTTTTAAAAGTCTTTCAAATAAAGTGAAATGAAGCCAAAATCAGCTAAAATTATGCAATGTCGTAAAATGGCGTTACTGGAATATGATGCAATCACCTGTGACGTCATACACGTATTGCCACATCAACAACTAAACAAACAATTAATATAGACTTCACTGATTGGTTTAAGATTCTTCGCATCATTTGTGACGTCATAAACATGTTACCCAACCAACAACTAAACAAATAACAAATAGGCATAGAGGTTCGTTCAGTGCCACGCTCTTGAATCAGTTATAAACAGGATAATCAACAGATATATGATAGGGTCAGTAATTTTTTTGACTTGGAGACCTCGACTCGAGGAGTCTGCTGCATTTTCTTGTTGGTACAAAACTCTTTGACTTACATTCCTAGAAACCACTAAAACTGTCATTAACAAACAGGAAGTTTCTACTGTGAATGTTATCAAGATTCTTCAAGAATCTTTTCCGAAAGTTAATTTTTTGAGGTACTTATACCTTCTAGAAAGCCACCGCTTTTTTGGCTCACATGCTGAGCCTATGTACCACCTATTCATCTGACTGTCGCCTGTCCGTTTATTTAATAACAATTTCTGGGAAAATTAAAACTGTAATCCATCTGAATGTGCTTACTTTGTTATTGTCTCCAACTTTTTTTGTGGTGGTAGTTGGTGTTCAGCGTTTGGTGTATGGTATCCATAACAAATGGCAGGTGGTGACATTTTGCATGTTACTGCCTTATTCAGCACTAGAGCCTACAGGCACTGCCAGCTTCATGGCAATGATTTTTTTCCCTTGAGATTTTTTAAAATTTATATTGAAGGTATAATTTATGTTATTTATCTATAAATCAGCATAGGGTAGACATGGTCTTAATGGAAAATTGATAAATGAACTGTCATCTTTTACGTTATAGTGTTAATCTATCATTTTATATGCACGTTTTTTAGCAAGTGTCTTATATTTTCTTTAAGAATTGTCAATTCTGTAGACCAAATCAGAAATTTATTTTGAAAGGAAAATATAATGCGATCATTTTGGAAAGGATTTGGAGAGGTATTAATTAAGGGAAGACAACTCTCTAGCAAGACATTTGAAAAAAGGTGTAATTGTTGAGACTATTAAGATCATCAGAGGGTAATGTGGCTAACTGATCAGAATTCAAGGTAGATTGACTTTGTACATGTATTTTATAATTAATATTATTGGCACAATTATGTTTTGATTTATGCTCCTACTTGTAAAGTCAGTATGGGTGGTTTAGACCTCAGTCTGTCTGGTGCTGAACATTTAATCTTAACCCAGTTTTTTGTAGACAAAATAATCAGCTAAAATCCTTATATATCATCAGAGGCAGTGTATTAGGTGCCAATTTGGGTTAGTTTTGTTTAAATCTAGAATCCAAGTTTTTGGAATGTAGCTCTATTTATATATGATGTTCTCTTATTTTGCATCCGTAGTCTAAACGATGAAAAATTGTTAAAATTACTGTCTCGGATGCAAACCTATTCTGGCTCTCATCTCAGTTAAGAAGTACACTTACATGAATAAGATCTCTTTTTTCATTGTTAAATAACAGAGGTGCCATGCTATAGAAACCATTGACCAAAATGTCAAAACCAGTGACTATATTGCCCCCCCCCCTGTATTTAATTGCAGCAATAGCTTCCTGTATCATAAGATAATATAGTAGATTAAAAAATATATATAAACAGTAGTATATGTAATATAAATTAAATTGAAATTCTAATTTATAAATGGTACATAAGGGATGAAATCACATCTTCCCAAAATGTAAGGTACAAGAAACTTGAAGAAAAGGTATAAAAATATGGATATCCTTTATCCTGCCTTATGGAGCTGTCGCACTTAGGTCATATAGCCCCACCATTTGCCGCCGTATGAATACTTTGTGGCAGATAGCAGGGTACAGCATAGGTACATGGTGGGAAATACAAAAAATAGTTTCACAACAAGATATCGCCCATCACACCAATGTGCAAATATGAAAATTCATTAATTAATTGAATAAAAAATTGAATGCCCAAAATAAGCCACATAGTGGTGAACGGTCAGCCAATGCGGCAAATGTGACAGCTCTGTATGAACAGTCTATATCGGGGATGTGCACTAAACTGCCATGCACGATGTTGATAATTTTGTAGGGTCTCGGTGCACTCATCGGATTCATAAGTTGTTTACCATAACATGACTTTTTTTGTGAATAATTTCTAGTGTTTTGGGTGAACTCATTAAACAAACATACATGTATGCTCCCTCTATACTGTAGATTATTTTGAAGTAAAATGGGGTTAATGTATGCTCCCTTCCATATTGATGTATTAGACGTAGTCTAGACTATAGACAAGACGTTTATGTTTAAACATTATTATAATACCTCTTGTAGCAAATGCCACAGTATACCACTGATTGTTAATGTTTGTTCGTACAAGCTAGATTTCAGAAGCTATACCTTGTTTGATTTTGTCCGAGACTGATACTAATGTATTAGCTAAATTAATAAAAAATAGGTACGTAATAACTACTCTTTACTCAAGGTACATTTTATTTAAAAGCTGCCCCAGCCCAAATTCATAGGGGGGTGGGCTTGGAAGGAGGGCAGGCTGTTTTCATTAGGGACAGGTTAGACAAAATACAGTCTACTTTGAGATAGCCTTGTATAGACCCCCCATGTCTTGCTTGTTTTAACATATATAGAATGTAACAAAAATCTTGGATTTATTTTTTGGTGAAAAGTATGTGCCATGGAATTGTGTCACCCATATTTTGCTCCAATCTGGTGAACTGTTTATACTTAATATGTCATCACAATCGTGATTTCCTGTTATAAAATCAGGCGGTCCATTATGTCTGGGTGCTCCAAGTTCATGTTACATTTAGCTGATTTCATGGCCAGCAAGTCTTCTAGTTACTGATATACTATACACCAAAAATAGATTTTCCAAATAGGTTAGTTTTAGGAAATGATTTTGTTTAAATGTTTCGAGACAATTTGAATGAGCTGAGATGAAATGTTGAAAAAAGCTTAGATTTTGGGATTTTTAGATCACCAAACCTTTACAGTGTACAAAATGG